TTGATCACGTGCACCTCTTCGACTACACGGTTACCGACCGAGACTCTGACATTGGTTCTATCGCCCATCACCCAGAAGTTTCTGGGCTGGAAGATCGAACCTATCCCTTCAGGAGCACCCGACTTGATCAAATAGTCCGAGTAATCTTTCCATGCCTAGGTTGAGATGAAAGTCAGCAAAATGCTTGATGTAGTTATTGAAGCTTTTGATACCACATACGTTTTGTTTTTCTTCTATCTTGAAATGATAATTGATCACATCTTGGTTGTTGCATTGAGTATGATACATCGAACGGAGGTGCCTGAAGTGGGCCGACAACACAGGCAAGACGTATGCGCGGCTGAGGACATGTGGGTTGATAGTGAATCTATAATACTCGGATTGGATCGCACGGTAGAAAGAGATCCAGAATAGTTCGCAAAGTGAGGCGTTGACACGGTCTTCTATGTTGGCATCCCAGTCGAAAGAAAAGCGTTGAAGACCCCATCTCTTCAAGTCGTCTTCAGTCTCGACGAAGCCTATGTCGTTCATATAAACACCCGTTTTGAAGAAGTCCGTAACATCGATCAAAGCCACAGACGTTCCATGAGGAAGTGGGTCTCCGGCTGGAAAGCGCTCTTTAAAACCACGCAGCTCGGCTTCCGAAAGAGAAGGTGGGATGGCTGAAGCGTTTGTTTGGCGACACATCAAGACGCGAGCATGCCTGCGGACAAGAGACTAAGAGAAGGATTTGGGAATTATGATAAGTATATTAATTAAGGAAAAAAATAGGGGAAGTGACACACTTGGATAACGAGCATCTCTTTTTTTGAGAGAATACCAACGACATCAGTGTCATGAATGATACGAAGCGATCTAGCAGAACTCAATGAATCGATCGGCGGGTCGCTGTAGAGGTTGGATTGATTGGAAGACATCACGACAAGATCATACAAAGATGAAGATGTTAGCAGGAAGGACTAGTTGGGAGGTCTCTTAGTACTCTGGGAATGTTAGTGATATATATGAACTCACCTCAACCATCGACGGTTTACAGATCCGACCTGCTACAAGAAATCTGTGGGTTGAGGGTATTGGGTTTTTGGTGCAACATCGTTTGAGTGAGACAAGTTGATTAGTTAAATTGCGAACAATAAAGAATATTACAAAGAAGGTATTACCAGATTTCCCGTGGACAGTGTGGTAGACTGATTCGGCCTGTTTGTGATGAAAGACCAGGAAGATGTATATTTATGAACTCTACCTCACCTGTTAATTTAATCAGACTCTCTTGTGACTCTTGTGTCTGTGGCTTGATCTTCATCCGAATAACTTGTTGATCAAAAGGGTTTTCTGGCCGAATTCGATCACCTTGAAGAGAAACCACCCAATCAGCGACTGGTGTTAGAGAAGAATGTCTCATTTCCCCACTTGACGGACTAGGTACCGGAATCAGACATCTGAGCAGACCACAAAGGAAACGAAAGACTGACCTCTCGCCACGTTGTCCACACGATTGAGTGTCTCGGTTAATCCTGTTTACATGGATTTCAAAATTTTAGCTAACGATCAAGACATCAGACATCCAAGCAGACAACAAAGGAAAAGAAAGACTGACCTTCCGCCACGCTGTCCACGCGCTTGAGTATCTTGGTTGATCTTGTTAACTTGGATTCCAAATAATTAGTTAATGAAGGAGATGTAAGAGATAGACTATCGTCATGTTTGGTTAAAACATACATGGTAGTGACTGAGAGAGGTTTTGGTTGTCGAAGAGGGAGAACGTTGAATGACAACTACGAGAAGCAATATATGTAGAGTGGTGGTTGAGTGGGTCACAGGGAAAGTCGGACTGCCGTGCATGTATGACTGAATGCAGTGTTTGTCTCATAAAATTTGGGGCCACACCCTATCAAGTTTCATCACTTGAATCGAGTCAAATGCACACTACAAGCTGTTGAAGCTTAACTACTGTACACATTGATTACCCACTGTGAGCGTGTCTGTCGAAGAGATGGGAGTTTGAAAGAGCTCCGGCCAAAGATGATCATTATGCACTAGCATGTGATCCATCAAAGTTCAGCAACAATGGCTGGCTGAGTTTCAAAAACAAAGATCGATGATCTTTGTCTAGTGACCCAACCGCCTCAAAACATGGACAAAGGTATGAATCTCAATACCTATCCGAGAACTCTGGCATGTCTCTGTCAGAACCATCTCGTGTGTGCACGTCGGCGTGCTTGAAGAAGACAGACGTGGTGGAGGGGATGTGCTTTCAGAAGATTGCATTAACATCCCCGCAGAGTGAGTTTGATACCCCACTCCAGACCCAAATTGTGTTAGAAAAGACTCGCAAGCATGATTCTCTCCTACATAGACAGCACAACATGATATCCAAAAACCCTGACCCCAACAATCACGACACAGCTCCAAACCACACCGCGACTGTCAAGACAGTCTCGTCTAGGCCGCAACATAACCCTACCAGCCCGACAGAGGAGCCTATAGGGCACGCTAGGCACTATGACGAGGGGGTATTAAATACAATTAAACCCCCGCGATGTGAGTTCGAAATTCTTTCATCATCATCTATACCTGAATCAGCTGGCAAGCCGTCTTTTCCCTGGAAATTTAGCACCCCAGCACAGGTCGACAGCGCAAAAGCTTCATGGTCCACGTCAGCGCGGTTAGCAGCAGAAGAAAAGAAGAAATTGCCCACCAAGTTGGTGGAAGAACTTGTACCTTCATCTTACCATAGACATCTACACATGTTTATGAAGTCTAAGGCTCAAGCACTACCCCCTCGACGAAAGTACGACTTCCGAGTAAATCTAATAGAAGAAGCTCAACCCCAGGCCAGCCGCATTATCCCGCTCTCTCCAGCAGAACAGGAAACATTGGATGAGATGATAAACTCAGGATTGGCAAACGGCACGATTCGAAGAACCACGTCACCATGGGCAGCTCCCGTCCTATTCACAGGAAAAAAAGACGGGAACCTACGACCATGCTTCGACTATCGCAAACTGAATGCCTTAACCGTCAAGAATAAATATCCATTACCGCTTACCATGGATCTCATCGACAGCCTACTTGACGCCAAAGAGTTCACAAAGCTAGACATGCGCAATGCGTACGGGAACCTGAGGGTCGCTGAAGGCGATGAGGACAAATTAGCTTTCATATGTAAAGCCGGTCAATTTGCACCCCTCACGATGCCATTCGGACCAACCGGAGCACCGGGATACTTTCAGTATTTTATGCAAGATATCCTCCTGGCTCACATTGGAAAGGACGCCGCGGTTTTCTTAGACGACACCATGATCTACACTAAGAAAGGAACCTGCCACGAAAACGTTGTAAATGAAATCCTTAACATCTTCAGCAAACACCAACTATGGCTCAAACCGGAAAAGTGCGAGTTTTCCAAGTCCGAAGTCGAATACCTAGGACTTTTAATTTCTCGAAACAAGATAAGGATGGACCCCACGAAGGTCAAAGCTGTATCCGAATGGCCTGCACCAAAGAACGTATCAGAACTTCAGAGATTTATCGGATTTGCTAATTTCTACAGAAGATTCATAGGCCAATTCTCAAAGACAACACAACCACTACACAATCTCACACACGATAAGACACCTTTCATCTGGGACTCTCAATGCGAAAAGGCCTTCCAGAACCTGAAAACCCTGTTCACCTCAGCGCCAATTCTGAAGATTGCAGATCCATACAAACCTTTTGTATTGGGGTGCGACTGCTCTGACTTTGCACTAGGAGCCGTACTGTCTCAACGTTGCAAGGAGGATGGTGAAATTCATCCCGTGGCCTACTTATCACGATCACTAGTACAAGCTGAGCGCAACTACGAGATCTTTGACAAAGAGTTATTGGCGATAGTAGCTTCATTCAAAGAATGGCGTCACTACTTGGAGGGTAATCCACACCGTCTAGAGGTTATTGTTTATACAGACCATCGAAATCTTGAAACATTCATGACCACCAAGCAATTAACTAGGCGTCAAGCACGATGGGCAGAGACCCTAGGATGTTTCGACTTTCAAATCAAATTCCGCCCTGGTAAACAAGCCACCAAGCCAGACGCCTTATCAAGAAGACCTGATCTAGCACCAAACGAAAACGAAAAACTATCCTTTGGACAACTGCTTAGAACAGATAACATCACGCATGACACATTCACCACCGATCTGGCTACCCTAGAGTCATTCTTCGAAGACGAATTAATCCAACTTGAAGACGCTGACCATTGGTTTGAAGTCGACGTCTTGGGAATCTCAGACAACAATTCATCAGAACCTATCATGAACGACAGAGAGATCATAGAGCTCATAAAAGAATCAACTACCAGAAGCCCAAGACTCAACAAAATCATAGAAGCAGTTAAGAACCCGATATCATCAAAACTACGCGAAGCATTTTCAAGATACAAGGTTGAAGATGGAATGGTGTATAATGGAGACAAGATTGAAGTTCCCGATGACGACAACATCAAGTTCCAAATATTACGTAGCCAACACGATAACCTTCTGGCCGGACATCCAGGCAGATCAAAGACGCTAGGATTGGTACGTAGGTGCTTCCACTGGCCTTCTCTGAAAGCTTACGTCAACCGCTACGTTGACGGATGCGACTCCTGTCTGAGAACCAAAACAACAACAAAGAAACCGTTTGGGACGCTGGAACCCTTACCAATACCAGCCGGCCCTTGGACAGATATAAGTTACGATCTGATCACGGGATTACCCACGTCAAACGGTAACGACAGCATTTTAACAGTAGTTGACAGACTGACAAAAATGAGTCACTTTATACCATGTAGGGAGACCATGTCAGCAGAAGACCTAGCAGACCTAATGATCAAGTTTGTATGGAAGCTACACGGCACCCCGAAGACAATCACTTCAGACCGAGGTAGTATCTTTATCTCACAACTGACGCAAGAACTAGATTCTTGACTAGGTATTAGACTCCAACCGTCGACAGCCTACCATCCACGCACAGACGGACAAACCAAAATCGTGAATAAAGTCATTGAGCAATATCTACAACATTTTGTCACTTACCGACAGGACAACTGGGACGGACTACTACCAATCGCTGAATTTTCATACAACAACAAGGACCACACATCAACAGGAATCTCACCCTTCAAAGCAAACTACGGATTTGAGCCTAGCTTCAACGGTGTACCGTCGACAGAACAGTGCCTACCTGCGGTGGAAGAGAGATTGAATATCATCACCAAAGTTCAAGAAGAGCTGACTGAGTGTTTACTGATTGCACAGGAGGACATGAAGAAACAGTTCGATAAAGGAGTAAGACCCACACCCGAATGGCAAGTTGGAGACCAAGTCTGGCTCAGTAGCAAGAATATCTCAACCACACGACCGAGCCCCAAACTGGATCACAAATGGCTGGGTCCATTTAATATTTCAAACAGAGTGTCACGATCAGCTTACAAATTGAATTTACCACTCTCTATGAAGGGAGTACACCCAGTATTTCACGTATCACTACTCAGAAAACACAAACAGGACAGCATCGACGAACGAAAACAGCAAGAACCTCCCTCAATCAGAATTCAAGAGAATGAAGAATGGGAAGTTTCAGAAATACTAGACAGCCGCAAGAGATACAATAGGGTCGAATATTTAGTAGCGTGGAAAGGTTTCACGGCGGAACATAATTCATGGGAACCAAGCAGCAATTTAGAGAACAGCAAGCAATTGGTTGATGAGTTTAACAAGAAATTTCCAAACGCGGCCAGTAGACATAGGAGGACACGGAGAAAGAAGTGAGAGGGTAAGCTTTTTCCCACTGGGTTTTTTAACGCTACCCGGGGAGGAACGCAGAACTTTCAAGAGGGAGTTTGGGCGTAAAAGGGGGGATACTGTTATGATCTCATCTATGTAACAGTTGGTGAAAGGCTCAACACAACATGTCACAGATTAGAGACCACTTTGTATTTCTCTACGTTGTACACACCTCTCTTTTCTCTTCATCCGACAATCTGCATACTAATACGAGAACCTGGTGACAGAACCTGATAACCCTCGTCCCACGAACCCCAACACCAGTCCTAACAAACATACTACACCGGACTACATCACACCAGTAATGGTCCTGCGCCCAATATCCTTGAGTCACAAGCTGATAAGAGACTTCTGCAATGGTGAGTCGGGCTGGCCAATTGGTTCCACCCTGAAATGAGGCATGTTCCTTTGCATCCAATGTGACAACCTCATCTCAGTGAAATAGAGATGTAGAGGGGGTACCACAGGAGAGGTCGTGAAATCAATCCAAGAATAGGAATCCAGAAAAGAAACTTTGTTGTCTGGTGTGATTTCACCTTGAGGGTGACACTGGCGGCAAAGAAGACCAGTATGCGCAAAAAGACCGTTAGTCGTCCATCCCGCAATGAAGTTTGCCACATCTGCATACACTGTAAACATCATTCAACTTCCCCAATTTGGCAGAGGAAAATGATTAATAGTACAGTTTTTCATAAAAGAATCTAATACTGCACACCTGGGCCATTTCACCCACACTACATATGTGCAGCAAGCTAAGTCAATAGTTGTCTATCATGTACATACAGGTCTGCTCAGTTTTTTGCCCATCAGAATAAATAAATCACATGTTATACCACATGTAACTTTTTCGACTTTGAAATTTTTTTCCCAAAAATTCACTACATATAATTCTGTAGCTGCTCAGGCAATAT